TTAAGTAAGAAAAATGTTCTTTTCTATGTTATATCCTGATCAATAAAAGACGTAAATGAGAGACGAAGTAAATGATTCTAGCTGTTCTAGATATCAGAAACGTAAAAACCAATAACTTTCTTATTTAAAATAAGCGATGGCTATCGTCTGAACTAGAATAAACATTGTTTCAAGCAGCTATGTCACAGCTCAAGAGAGGAAAGAGCAGATTGTATGTATGTCTAATTAATTAACGAATCATAATTAGCGACAGCAATAAAGTTGCCGACAAAGGTATAGCTTTGTCGGCAACCTTGTCGTTGTCGCTATCGCTATCGCTATCGCCTATTGTGCAAGGGGCTTTAAGGCCATTGCACGTACCAAAGTTTTAGTCATAATCGTAAGGCCGTAAGAAAATAGACCAATCACAGTCGATTATTCTCTTCGAGCTCGAGAAATAATCGAGTGTGACTGGTCTATTTTCTTATGGCCTTACGATCATGACTAAAACTTTGTTACGTGCAATGGCCTTTAGGGTGCCATTACATGGAGCGCGAAAACGCGGAAACGCGGAAAAAAAATTCACGAATCTATTACTACGTTTACGTGAGCGTTACTTCTGTAGTAACTTACGATAATTCCTTATTCGCGTAAACGGGATTTTGTAGTAACTTACGATAATTTACTTCGCGTAAACGAGTGATATATCGTAAGAACGCTCGCGTAAACGTAGAATATGTAACTTATTTTATGAGAAATCTTGTTATTACGAATTACGGATTCGTAATAACAGGATTTCTCATAAAATAAGTTACATAGATTCGTGACTTTTTTTTTATATATTCTTTATATAATAATGCAGTCAGCTACAGAGCCCGATTTTGCATTTTTGCTCTTAAAAATGTACAATAAATAATAAAATACGGACTCACAGCTTGCTCGCAGCTAACCCAACCCGACAGAGGTCTCCACCGTTGCGCAAGGCGCAACCTACAGCCTCGGTGTCCTATCTCTCATTAAAAGGATTCCTAGTCCTAGGCGTCCCCCACACCACCCCAGTCCCCACACGCACTAGTCACGCAACGCACGATACTTTCGTGAATTGGAGGTTAAGGCACGGTGTGCGCAAAGAATTTTTTTATTTACGCTTCATTTAGCAAGTAAGTAAAGTTATATGTATTTTATTTGCGACATAATATACGCTCTTATTGAAATATTCCACGAGAAATACTATTGTCTCATTGTTATATAGGTATATTTATTTACTTTAACATCATTAACCGGCATGTGCTGAAAGATGCTGTTCGCATAAACGTACAAAATTCAACGATTTAACATCTCAGATTATCGCGTTACAAATACTTAATTTTTGAACAACATACATATTTTATTAATTTTATACATTTTTTTTACAGACTACATATTTACACCATGGCTGCGACGATGCCAATAAACCCCAAGCCATTCCTAAATGGTCTGACTGGGAAACCGGTCATGGTAAAGTTAAAGTGGGGCCACGAGTACAGAGGTTATCTCGTCTCGGTTGACGGATACATGAATCTGCAGCTGGCAAACACCGAGGAGCACATAGACGGCAATTGCACGGGAAACCTCGGCGAGGTGCTCATCAGGTGTAACAATGTTATGTACATAAGAGGGGTGGAGGAGTCAGATGAAGAAGGCGAGATGAAGGACTGAAGTGACGAGTGAATCTAAAATGTATATTATAACCTTGTATTATTAAACATTAATTTAATTCAACTAATAAAACGAGAACGTTTTATTTCTTATATATGGCAGTATGCGAGCGCAGATAATATTACAAGCCTGGTACGTTAACATGGTTTCGGCACATTGGTGACTATAGGCTTCGGCCGTGACTTAAACAGGAGTTTCTTCTTCACGATAGCCTTTACAAAGTATTCTGTCTTCGCCGCAGCCTCCCCCTCGATCGCCTCATCTCTCGTATTACGATGCCTCTCCAATACAATCAGCGGCTTGTCGAGCGTTATTTCCTTCCCGTGCAACACGTGAATTCCGATAATTAAAATAGGTACTCCAGCTTTTGTGAAGTGAAGATCGCCGATTAACTGATCGTCTGGATTATCGATCCTTTCGAATTTTAGATCGCCCTGAAGATCTACGATGGCCCAAGTATCTACGTATCCGTCTCTAAAAGATCATCGCTGAGATTTATTTGACATAGAGAAAATTTCTTCGTGTTTTATAATAAACAGAATCTATAATTGACGTATAAATAAGCGTGCAACAAGGATATACTTTACCTTTTGATCGGCACGATCATCTTCGCCAGGTTAGGCGGCTAATGGCGCCAATTGCCGCCAAAAATGACGTATGTAAATCTATCTCTACCGGAGCCGGAGTGGACCGTAAGAATTTCCCTAGAAACTGGTGAGAAGTCGCCAAGTCACAATTGAGAATCAGCGAGTACCGGAACGCGGAAAGATCGCGAGGTTACCCTTGTCATTTTTATGCATTTTAAAATCCAACGAAAGAGAAAGCGTTGCAATCTTTCTGCGATCGAATGCGCTTCCTTCTAGTAATATTTTTATGTAAATTTTTGAATTAATTAAAAGAGTCTGGAAAACGTACGATTATATAATAATTTATAATTAAACATAACAAGTATATCTTTTGTAGTAATATAATACTTGCTTGGAGTATATCATTTTAAAGAATAATAAAATAATATAACAATATAACATACTTAATGGAAATATTTTACTAAAAATATAATGTAATTTTACTGAAATGTATTTGAAATTCTCTTTCAATTGACATTTTATTGAATTATTATTACATCAATATTTCAGTAAAAATATTCAGTTTATACTTAAATTCTGTGAATTTCATATATATATATATATATATATATATATATATAATAGCTAATATTTTAAAAAATTTGTTATTACTTTTTTCAGCATAATTTAACTTTCCTTATCTTTCACAATATTATATTACATTTTATTAAGAAAATTATGATTTATTTTGGAACATATTCAGTAATTTTTTAATAACTTTTATTTTATTTTTCATCAATTTTACGGTACTTTCTGCAAAATATTTTTATCAGGAATATATATAGTAATTAAATTTATGATGCTTACTTTGGCCGTTAGAGAGCGAGATTATTTAATTTATCTATCACCATCGCGCTGAAGATGGCTCAACAAGCCCATTTTTTCTTGTTACTTGTCAATTTCAATATTAAAAATCTAGTTAATTATCCATTTATTTGAATAAATTTATTGTTATCCATACAAAACTAAATTATCAAATGTGTAATAATAAACATTACCAAGTTTGCATAATTCAAAACATAATATAAGAGAATAGGGCTAGCGAACAAAGCTATAATAGGTATACGTGTTTAGATGATGTATTATAAATTACTAACAATAAAAAATAAACATTTCGACCTTTAACACGACTAATCTTCAATGCGCAATATAAGGATGAGAATTATTCAAACGGTAAAACGCATAACGCATACTTAATTGTTGGATTTCAACGGAAAAACTTAAATTAATGTCTCCGCATTATAATTAAAGCCGATTGATTACATGTGTGGTATGTGACTCTGTTGAGAGCCTCCTTTAGTGTCGGAAAGGATGATTATATCGTTCTCATAATTCTGATTGTAATGATGGTGTGATATCCATGCTATGAGAGATTTCAGACCAAATTAATGGTCAGAATTTTGAGTTAACATTTGAAAGTCCAAGTTAAAAGGAGTCAGAATTTTGCAAAATTAGTTAATCAGTAAGTATTAATATATTCCTCGTTACATAGTCACGGAAATAATTACATAACTTAAAATTTTGGAAATATTATATGAATCAGCCTTATATGTTATTGTGTCAAAAAGAATACCTTATGTTTTAACTAAACGAAAAATAAAAAAAAATATATAATTATATTTGAAATAATACCTGAGAACCAGCGGAGTGTCACGTCAAGAGAAACGATTCGTGTATATTAATTGGATAATAAATGCGAAAGGAACAAAGGAAGAGAGTATGGAATAGGGAAGGTATATAGGAGAATGGTGATGATAAGGTAACATTTTTGGTTGAAAAATGGAGAGGAGAGGAAGTAAGTTGAGAACAAAGAAGGAAGATATGGAAGGAGCTCGAAATTAATTATAATTACAATATGTAATATTTAATTATTATTATAATATATAATAATAATAAATAATTATAATTAAAATATATTGTAATTATAATATATATTTAATAATAATAATAATATTGTGTATATCATATAAATTAATTATAAATTCTAATTAATTTATATATATAATAATAATTATTATTAAGGTAAAAACAGGAAATTGGCAGAGTATTAATTTGCATTATACAAGAAATTTGCAAAGCTATATGACGGGTATAGGGATATCTAAATGTGTAAGTATAAGGATTGTTTTGTTTATAAGGATTGTGTTTCAATTTGATATCACGCATATTTGTATTCCTATTTTATTTCCGATTCTCTTCCTTCATACGGAAGTAAGTACATTGGACGTAAATCACAGCACATCTCCGCTTGAATAAACACTCATGTATCGACTGTAGACAGTGTGTATACGTAAGAGTTATACAAATAAAAACATTTGTAGGTGCGCTTGTTATCGGGCGTACTGTCGACGTGACACAAAGTGTGACTCTCCCCGAGATTCGCATGCTTAAAAATAAAATTTGTGCCTGCGGTAACGCAACACTTTACAGATCTAACAATCTCATTTTATATATACGCTCGAAATCCGACCTTAAATTAAATTCGCCCAAATCTCGCACGATTCGGAACGTGAAAACGATATACACCGATAAAAAATATAGATCGCAAAATGATCTATGAATGAATATTTCTGCGAAATGAGATTTGGTGCTCGATCGTTTCTTTGCGCGATCTAACGAGGCGAAGTGATCGGCATCGAGGTTTGCCGATATTACTATGGATGTTTCACAAACAGAGATTCTCTCCTTTTCCTTTAACATCTACAGATCAGGTTCCAGGAGTGATTCTTTTGTACGTGTACGTAGATGTACAGTATAGTCTTATACAGTAGCCAGCTTTGATTATGTATGTGATCAATCGAGAATTAGGCGATAAGCTTGCGGGAAAGATGCGCTAAGGCAATATCGCTCGCAAAAATTACGCGTGCGTGAACATCGTTTGCGTGATGTACATGTGCGTGTACATACGTATATACGAATATATTTATAATATGTACAAAAGTCGTCTATACATATAATGTTCCCCTAGGAATAGTACAAAATATTTGAGGAAGATAACTGCGCGTTGACGATCGGAGATAGGAAAGTGATACTTTCATTCGTGTTACTCTAGTCTAGAGTCTAGATAATTATGCATCTTATCCGCTACAACTCATAAATCTTTAGCTCATCGTATGAAACGTAAATTCGTATACGAGAAGTGGGATGAACTTATTAAGGAGAAGATGAGAAGGCTCTACACGTAAATGTGTTTTCTTATGGTTCGTTTCTTGTTCGTAAAAAGCGTTGGCCTCTAACGTAAGTAGTAGTATAATTTTACTTTATCTCTAATGCTCCTAATTTCGGATCGTGTATTATCTACGTTCGAGAGAAAGACGGTATTAATGTATTTTTTCCTATTTATGTTGTTAATATATATAATTTTTAAATAATATACGCCGTTACGTAAATATTATTTTTGGAAACAAAAAATAAGATTTTGCAAGAGATAAGAGATGTTCTCACAGAATAGTTTAATCCTAATAAATATATTTCAACTTATTTCGATGAAAGATTGTAGAGTTACAAATTTAGCTGAAATCTTGGCGAGCTAGATTATTTATAGAGATCTTGTATTAATTCAAAACACAAGCCGTCATTAGAACACGAATCTATTGAATTATCTTTTTCTTTTTAAATTGTTAAGATTGATACAAGAAAAACACAGCTGGATTCAACTACTTCAGCGGACGGATAAATTATGAAAGCGAGAAGAAGTTCCCATAGTTTAAAAATGTGATCTACATATGAATTCTTACATTATGGTACTTTCGTGAAAACCGCCTAGAAAAGCATAATGGTAACAGTAGCATTATTTACGTTGCCTCTATTAAAAGCTAGTAATTAATAATGCTAAATAGTAGGTGCTTTGTATTTCTCTGGTCATATATTGACGATTTTCTATGATATAGAGAGTTTGATTATTTAAGAACTAGAAATTTTTCAAAGTTTTGAAGGAACGTTAAATATTTTTGTAAGGTGCATTAATATCGTGAGGTAACGAGAGCGAGTAAACGAATGCATTGTAGAATCTACCTTCTATATCTTCAGATCACTAACATTTCCTCTTTGGATGGAGTCTTCTCTATGTCGATATAGAATTCAAATGTAGAACAATGGGGGAAAGGACAATAATGTTATGTATTGATACTATATTTATGATAGTGTGAAAGTTATGGCGTATGAAATTTCGTTGAATTTATGAAAAACTATATAGGTATGTACAATAACGTCTACGTCGATGTATATCATAATATCACTTTGCGAACAATCAATAGCATCGTTTTAAAAGATTATGCAAAATGACTAGTAAATTCATTAAATACGCGTCGAATTTCATACAGTTTTCAATTATCAGAACGATTCTTTTTAATATTTTCAGGATGAAAATCTTGTGTTCGCTTATTTTATAAAACGTATATAGAAGTTTTTAATATAAATCATACAATCGCAATGTTAAAAGATACAACTAAATTACATACTTTTATTTTGCAACCTATAATTTGCGATTTGCAGTTGTAGGTAATTGCAATTTTTAATATTGTACAATTCTTACTAATACTTTTTGTTTTATGTACATAATTTAATTTATATACTATATACATAATCGTAAATGTGATTTACATTTAATACGGCTTAACACTTTACCGTTTCGTAGAATCTTACAGTTTTCGCGAGGCATCGTAATGACAAAACAAATACTTGTGAGTCAATTTCTAAACTACTATTTGTGACTTGTAATTGAATTCGATTGGATGTATCGATGCGTACTGATGCATAGTAAAGACTTCCGTGCACGAGTTAACATAAAAGCATATATGCATAATCGAATAATGCATAATCGAATACATAATCGAATAGATCAGTGAGATGCACAAAATATTTTAAATATATATTTAATACATGTTTCAATATATTATATTAAATATATAGTTAAAAATATACAACGTATTTAAAATACATATTTAAAATATATATTCTGCACTAAACATCTTACTAATCTATTCAATACAGGGTGTCTCAGACATGCCGTACCATCCATTAATGATTCCATTAATGATATTTCTGAGATAAAATGTCGAGGCTATAATAGATTTAACTGAAAAATGTTCAAATGTTTATGTTGACCAATCAAATTGTCCAAAGAAATTCGCGCGCTCAATTATGTCACATTGCACAGTAGTGATTTAAAAGGTGTTTTCAAGCGCATTTTTTATATCATATTTCGAGAATAGTGCAATTGTCACGTTGCAAATAAATATTGTGCAATTCGATTAGTCAACTTTGAACACTTCTTATTTAAAAATTATTAGAACCTTGGCATTTTGATATTAGGATTTTCGTTTCAAAATGATCTCAGGAATATCTTAACGGACGGCATAGCAGGTATGGGATATATCTGGAATACATATATTCTCTGCCAAATTTTCATCGGTCAAGGCGCTTATATTTTTACATTTAAGTTCAATAGTATTTTAGTCTGCACCAGTGCGCAAAAGCTATGATTTGTCATGTTTCGAATTACAGCATTCAAGATTTATTATAATATAATTCGGCCGAGCATGAGAGAGACAACAGTTGAATTAGTGCTAAGATCGGTAAAGTGATAAGGTAATCTATAAATAACAATAATCCGTTGATATCTCTCAGGATGTAACTTTCCGATTACACTAAACGCAACAATGAGTTAATCAAAATAGTACACGTACACGCAAGTGTCATAAACATTTACCAGATACGCGTTTTTCAGGAACACTTTCGGAAAGAGCGTCAAAATACAAAACGTTCGACGTAATTTTGATCGTAATACCTCAATCATACGTGATCGTTTTGATCGTCAGACCTCAAATAAAATACGTATTTTTTATTATAAAACCCTTATAAAATTTTCTTTGTGAAATATGTTATTTTTCGCAGCAGTTTGACTAGTTGGAGGTGCTCATCTAGTGACTGTTAAAATATTTATGACGCTCGGTGTACTCTCTTTCTCTCCTATATATCTTTCTGTAACGTCTTCCAAACGTCGACAGCATTGAGCATTCGATAATCCGCGAGACACTTTAACGCCTATGAGATGCATATTGCGCGTGACGAAAGTTGGTTGCCGCCGATACTACTTGGAAGACTGACTCGAGATCTGAGATAACCACTATGCGGGTTCCTTCACATAAAACGCACACAAACACAAAAATAAATTATATCTCCATTTCAGTCTCGCAAATCTCGATCATTCAGCATCGACTTTGCGAACTTGAAAATTACCCTGAGTGCGTCGCTTTCATACTCGAGAGGGGGGGAGGGGAGGAAGTCTTTCTTCTGAGATGTACTTCGTTGGAAGAAGATAACATCGATTTTTAAAAGCAATCGGTAATCGTTGACTCCGTTATATTCCGGAGCTCCGTCATGCGCACCATTTCGTTGAACACCTTAATTAAATTTTATACTCTTCGGCATACTTCCTCGGGATGCTCGAGTCGGATATAACTCTAGGAACGTCTCTTTCGGGACTAGGACTAGGGCTAGGCGAGGAACTCGGCGATCTTGAGCTACTGGAGCTACTCGATCTGGCGCGTTTCTGTCGTTCCCTTTGAGTCTTGTAGTCGTGTAAAGGGCCGCGAATAATTTTCAGCGTGGTCTCCAACTCGTACGCGCGATTCTTCAACGTATTGTACAGGTTGATGTCGAGACCGATCTTTCGCGCTCTTCTATGAAGCACTATTAGATGACGTCTATTCAATACGTCCGGCAGCATGTATTCCTAAGTGAAGATATATGAACAAAAATCATGATTGTTCGTAGTATCGAGTTTACGCCATGCAATCCATTTCCGGCGATTTGCAACGTTTTTTATTATGGGATTCAGTCTGCATTCTTAAATTCTCTAAAACCAACCTGTCGAGTAACGAGGTAATAAATAAACCACATCATAGTAGTGCCGTAAGTGACGAAGTAAGTGACGGGCTCCATTATATCCCACGAGTATTCCCACCAGGTTAATCTGGCCAACGCCCCAAATTGGATAGACATCATAATTAGGAACGTCCAGATAAAAAAATTCGCCTTCTTGTAAGCGGCATTCTGTATTTCTTGCAGTTTCTAGAACGATTAAGAGAACGTGAAAAGCCCTGAGCTCGTCATTCATGTTGATGTTGATGTCGAGCGCCCCGGAGTTTCTTTTAACGTAAGATAATTTAGCTTCCGTCGTATTCTCAAAGTAATTGAGAAAACGAGGCCGGAGATGAATGAATGTACCGGGGAAAATCGTGGAAGTTGAAACGGCATCTTTTATCCCGCCTCATTATTTCGTAAGTAAGGGGAAAAAAAAGGCGCGCGGGAAACATCTCGCAGACAAGTTTTCTTCTTACGGCGTTTGCGTAACAGCGAGCGCGCGACACGCACAAAGGCGGGATTAGAAAAGTATCGCTGCTCGTTTAGTCGCGTGTGCGAACCGCGACGCGAGTGTGTTAATTAGAACGCTCAAGAATATGGCAATTAAGAAGAGCCATAAAAAGCATATAGGCGGGACGCAGTGAGAGAAAACGGACAATGGGAGTGTGCCCGCGTTTAAATCAGATTTACGCGCGATAGAAAGCCAATTCGTCGGCGCGCCTCGTTTAAAATTGAATCGATTTTATCCGCACAAATTCTATTCTTAGTATTACGCACGCGTACACAGAAAAAAAGAATGTACTCCCGAGTATGTATACATATTTATGTAAAGGAAAATTATAGTTATTAATTAATATATTTCTTATTCATCGAATTCTTAAAATTCTGATAATTTAAAAATTTATTTATTTTTTAATGGTTCTTTACTCACAAAACAATTAAAGAATTATTACTTTATAAGAAAGAAAAAGTTGGAAGAAAAATGGTCTATACATGATACTATATATATATATATATATATATATATATATATATATATATATAAAATCTCCTTTTGTTAAATAACTCTTAAATGACTAATGACCAATAATGAATAATATTTTAGGTATATTCAGGGGATTCCTTCCTTCATACTATTAATGTATAAAGTCTTGATTTTACTGATTTTACACTTCTTTTTTCTGTGTATATTGCTTAATTCGTATATACGAATTTTTACGAATATTTTTACCTGTTCCATGGGTACCAGCTGTAGTCTAATATCCTCCAACTCGGCGACGACCGATCTCTCCATGTCGACGCTGTACTCCCGCACGTGGAACGCCTCGTACAACTGTGCGACGAGCGCTTGTACGTCTCCGAGTTTCTGCAAATCCTCCTGTAAAAGCGGGACACATATACATGTCGATACTTGCGGGGGCACGATTCGACAAGGTAAATCCGCGTGACCCCGATATATATCGCCGATAATATATTACACTTGAAGAAATATCGCTGCGGATTCTAGTCGATCAAGTTACGCGTCGCGACTACGCGCTTCGGGTACGTAATGTAGAAACATAAAGCCGATGGGGAAATTCGTCTTTATGTGATAACTCACTGTCGTGCACCTTTCTTGTAACGGCGGCGAGACAATGTATTCGTTATCGTTTATTAATAATTTGAAATCCTCTTCTAAAAGTGACTCTATCGTGTTACTGGAAGCTATCCTGGTGCCATCTGAAAAGTCAATTAAGGCTTTTATTTTATAAAATCACACAAGGTCTTTATCTGGTTCTCCGTTATTAATCCGATTATTAATTCTCGTTTATTAATTAGCCGCTTAGGAAATGATTTGTATCGACGTCTTACCTAGCGACGTTATGCACGCTCGATCGATGCCACGATCCTCCGTCTTCAGCATATCTAAAAGATTGCCGACCGTGTGCGTTATCGGCTTCATGGTGAATGAGCAACGTTCCCTCCTGGATGGAAGAGGCACCGTGATCCTGGGAAGTCCCCGGTGATACGCCACGATGACCTCCGAACCTGCGTTAATATTCATGCATCACGCATTTGTTTTTCGCGTAAAGATAAAGAATTCGTGTAACTGCGTAAAATTCATAATTTTAGTAAACCTTGCAAAAGCGACTAAAACTCTGAAACTCTGTATAAATATTTTTTCTAACATATTCTTCCCGCTTTCTCTTATTCACTTTTCCAGTGTTTGTTTTGAGATTTTCAGTGTTAATAACAAACTCTCCAAATCTTCAGTGTTAATAACTATCCCATTTTCTAAATTCGTATTCGATCGCGTGTATCACGCGGACACCTTGACTTAGTCAGAATGTGAGACGGTTTGCACGTGAGAGAAATACGCGTGCGATCGTTTCACAGATACTTCGCGCGAGTTGGGACATGAAATTCAGTGTAACGGACACTCGAGCCTTTTACCTTTTCACTCAATGGTATCAAACTGCCGTGAAAGTCAACAACCTTGTTGCACAGAATTATTATTTTTATTTAGTATAATCAATATTAATTTCTTAAACTATCGGCTAATCGATATTTGAATCAATTTATTCCTGACGATTGAATTAAATAACGTTGAGGAATATTAATTACCGGTTTTGTGTGCAACAATTAAAATTATAACATAGTCAGAACGGAACGTATAATGTTCCGTGAGGCAACAGAAATGTACGAAATGCGCAATTATAAGAACGCGCGTTAAACATTAGTTACACGCTACATACTCGATTTATATTATACGTATATTCTTCGCGTACTGCATCGTATGAAAATTCGGAGAGTATTTCCAGCTATAATGAAATGAACCGTTGGACGAGCTTTTAATAAAAATCCTGTTTTTCTTATTAATTTTAGTCGATATCTCGATATCTGACAGATAATATTGCACATTAAATTAGGTGGAGGATAAAATAATGAAGTAAAATTCTAAATTTGATAAAAATGTACCTTCCAAAATTATCGATATAAAATAACGTGACAAATTTTGCGCTAAAGTCGTTCTAATCGATAAACTTCGTCCCAATAATTCGTTAAACTTCCTACAAAAATGTTATACAATGTATAACAATGTATCTTTAAAATTAGAAAAGAGGAAGGATCTGCGGGGCCGGCAAAGTGCACCGTTTCCGCGACTTCGCTCGCGTGATAATCGCGCAATCGAGAGCTGGACTGTATTAACCTGGTTACGAGCCGTTGATATGAGGAAGGTATTAGAGTGTGGAGAACGGTATGGGACGACCGGGGATCGGGGGATCTTTCCCGCTGTAAGCAGAACGGAACCGAGCGTTAATCCGCCTGCACTAACGATCTCTGAAAATGCATCTTTCGGCGCAAGAAGCGCCTCCATAAGTTCCCCAACTTCAAGTTCGTTAAAATTGCTAGATCCAATAAAGTAATAGGGGATTAATTCAAAGTGCCGTGTCACTTTGAAATAAGAGATCTGTTCGTTTTAGCTGAACTTCTTGCACGGTTCGTTTTTCCTCTTTTTTTCACGTTGGGGAGAAAAAGAGAAAAGATGAACTGTGCAAGAAGTTCAGCTAAAACAAACAGGCTTAAATAAATGAAATAAAACGATAAAAAACGAGCACAAAAATATTTTTGTTTTATGTAATAAACGAAGAAAATTTAAAATAATTCGTGATATGTTCAATACATTCTATTATACAATATAATAAATAAATGTTATATAGGAAAAATAACTTTAAAAAGAAAACAGTTGTTGTATATTTCAACAGATGTATAGAGTTATGATAGACATGCGAATTTTTCGTATTTGACATTGTTATAACACGAGACGATGCACGAAATCGACGTATATGATGGATGGGCAGATAGAGTTAGCTGAAAGGATTTTCCTATTGCTTTCGATCAAATAAACAGATTGTAAAAAATGCGAAAACATTTGTAATATTTTCATACTATATAAATCTAATAACCACTAATAAATAACATTATTAGTCAATATTGTTTCTTTAACAAATCACTTGAAAAAAAAAAGAGAGAAAAAGTATTTCATGTTGCATTAATCTTGTTTTGAATGTGTTGCGATGCGTAAAATAATATTTGTCGCATACGAACGTATGCAACAAATTCTCAATCACATGTTGCCGCGTCCGTTGTATATACAAAATACGTTTATTTACAATATTACATATGCGCATAAACGGCCATCGATGTACCATTTCGTTTACGTGAGGATTCCGCGGTATGTAATTGGCGATCGTTTATCATCGAGAGTTCTCGTCTCGAAAGGGAAACGATGACAAGTAGGATCTCTCAATCATCCGAAGGCGCGATCGCTCTAAGGAGCGATCGATATAGCGGTAGCTAGTGGTAGCCGCAATTTCTCAGATGGGAATTCGGTGCCGTGTTAATAACTCCTTAAGCGAACGCGCAGACAACGTCCGGCAATTAGTACACCTCCCTCCATGACGTGACGTATACGATACGACGTCCGTGTGTGCATCGCGGTGTGTGCATCGCCCGGCAGTAGGTTGGCACGCAGATGGTAGAGGCAAGAAATCTACCACCACCTCCGCCGGCCCGGCCTCCCTTCTTCCGACGACCACGATGCGACGCGGTGGTGAGGTTTTCTATGCCGCCACAGTCTACCATAAGATTCTGCTCAATTAATAAGTGGCGTGACCGTGGAACCGAGCCGACATATTGCGGTCGTAGTTATTTGTTTTTTTTTTTGTTTTTTTTTGTGACAGCAACCCCCGAGCTTCCTCGAGCTTCTCTCTAGGCTCGCGAGTCGAACCTGCCATTATTCTTCGGGGATGTACGACTGACGAGCGCCGAGGGAAGTTCCCGAGGGTAGGTGGATATTCCGTGACACGGCCGGATTGACCAGATTCGATTTACGGCAACCCGCTGTCGTTAGTATACCCGAGCAATCGCGCAGTGGGACCCGCGCGGATCCCTAAGATAATAAATCGAAGGATTCAAGGGGGGAAAAACCGTAGGGCCGTAGAACCCATAGATTATCGCGTGAAATTAATTTTCGATATGGTCTGATATCTCTGCCACAAATTTACTCCACTCTTGCACCAAACTTCTTCGAGTTAAGTATAGTTATTTCGTGCAGTTTTGCGCGTTATTAAATTTAATCGCATTTACTTTTGTGAAATCTGGTTTACTTGGAGCATTACACGCTCCGAATACTTTAACCACAGCGGACCAAACATGTACACGGTTGAAATAAAAAGAAAACATATTAAGCTTAATTTTGATCTCTGTAAATGCAGTTACCATGTTATTAATATGCTGTTATGTGAAATTAATCAGGCTCATAAATATGAAAAGAACGATTCAGTTAAGTTCAATATAACTGTAACCCTCAGTGGATGAATCACGTGGAGTAGTCTTTTAAAACTTTTGTATAAACTTTTCATATGAATAAGATACTTTTAATAATAATTCTCGCGATTTTATTTATCTCATTTTAATTTAAAAAATCGGCAAGAAAAATTCTATCTGGAAAATTGTAAGAAAGTCTTTCACACGCGCGCTCGCTTTTCTATTCTTTTTCTTTTTTTTTAATTATCGTTCAACTTTCAACAGAGACCAAATTGTGAAGAAATTTACGCGCCGGTGATCGTCTAGAAAGTCTCTGACGTTCAGACACGTGGAAATATGTATCTTATCGAATCGGTCGAAGAAAGAAACGATATTCTTGTGCAAAACGTTGCGTAAGTTAGATTTATGCCTGGGAAATTATCGAGCGCGAAGTTATCTATTCTTTCATCGTTCTCGTTGGGCCTGCATAATTCGTGCATCACGCACATCACGATGGCTGAAATCTTGGGGCATGGATCGAAGCTGTTAACAATTAGCGTGTGCATGATTGGCATGCTGCAGTTTCATTTCCTCTTTTGGCCATAATGCCGTATTATGCCTTATCAAATGTCATCTTAAAGGAATCACAGTTGGCGACATCTGGGATATCTCGATAGCGTGTATTATTATCACAGGAATATTGCATTCTCTCGATTCTCTCAAACAATACGTTGACTTACATGCAGAAAAGGATTCTAATTTCATATTTGCATATATTTTAATATATGAAAATTACATATAAGCTTTATAAAATTATAAATAAACTTAATAAATATTTATATAAAATTATATATAAGCTTAATATATGAAAACATAATATTATATTTGTAAATACACAGTAAAAAATCGTGCGTCCAAATGTTAAAATTTTCTTGTGTTATCAAGATTTGACTATTATTTCAATGTAAAATTAACATACAACAGCTATGTTATTATTTTCGTAACATTTTCATGTGTTATATTTATGTCAACGTGATAACTAACACTTTATGTATGTCATTTAGAAATTGAATATTATTTTGAGTTCTTTTAACATAATTATTTCAAAAAATCAACACGTCTTAAAGTTATTTTAACATAAACAAAAGTTAAAGTAAATTTTCAAATAATCGTAAACTTTGACATATAAAATAATCAAATTTACTAAAATATGTGTTAATATAACTCAAAATAAAATGTATAATATACATTTCGTAAGAGTTACATTATCAGACGAAGCAAAGTGTTATATCGACATTTTATACAAGTTATTTTTACATTATACTTAAAGTTAAAAGAACACATATAAATGTAAAATATAGTGTCAATAAATTAACATTTCTAATTTGTCAACAAGTAACACACGATGAATGAGTTATTTTAACATAAAATTTAGAGTGGACTTTCTGAGACATTTGAAAAATGTTACGATTAACATTTTATTTTTTACTGTGTATATATATATAGCAGTTTCAAAAATTTAAAAGCTTAATGATTTCCTTTTTAATAACTTTAATTTTATTTAACTTTTAAATTTCACGTTCCGCAGAATATTTATCTGCGAATTCAGAGATGCAAATTATAACTTTGCTACTTTAATTGAGAGCCAACGTGCACCGCGTAAAATGAGCGTGACGTTATGTAAACTCGAATTTTTGTAATGCGAATGCTTATGGGATGCATGGATAATTTATGAGTATTCCCTCTGGATACTTGAAGCTGCGAGAAGTGGGTGTACGTGATCGTTCGGTTAGGTATTGGACTAGCTCTTCTGCTTACATATATCGCACATCCATATAAATAATGGATTAAAATATTTCGAATTTATGCTGCCTTCGACAGAAAATCTTTCTGCACCTAACATCTGTCTTACTTTTATTCTTATATTTGATTTATGATATATGGTTATTTGAAATAAAAGTGGAAAAAATAGATACAAAAATTTGTTGCTCCAGATTTAATTCTCCGTCTGTAAACGTCTGACACGGCGTCGGAGCCAAAATAATATTTGTAACTGTAAAACTTGCAAGTCTGCCAGAAAATATTAAATAAACGATGTTTATCAAAATAACTATAAAATCATTAACTACAATGTAGACAAATGTTTTGTGAAATTTTTCATATTTTTAAAAATACTTTAAGGTAGGGAAAAGCGTCAAACGACAGACCCACGTGTACACTCCAAAGGTGCAAAAAAAAAACGCTTACAGACGGAGGGTTAAATTAATTACAATATTTTTGGATTTGCTGAAAAACAATGCAACAATGATTTAAACATGGAAAAATCCAGAAGTTATTATAAGTTAAGATTACTTAGCAATTTTTAGTTACTTGCAAAATTACTTAAGTTTGATTTCAGTAAATAATTATTATTAAATATAAAAATAATCTTCACACAGATATATCTACTGCGTTTAATCTGATGCAAAAATTTCTGATTAAGTCGACTTTTAGAATACTTATATAGGATGAGATCTTATCACTAATAGAATAAATAATTCCTTCTGTTTATTAGTTTTATTAGGTCAAACCCATAATGGTAATGACCTTTTCTCGAAAAAGTTAACGATGGAACATCTCTCAGTTCGCATTACGTTCAGCAGTGCTACCTCGACTTTATACCTTTGTTGGATCGATTTTATTCACGCGAAAGCTAGGCATGCTTACGCCATCTAGCGACGAGTCACGGTACGAAAAAACACGTTGACTGAAATTTTATGCGGAGCTACGTAACAAGAGCGAGATAGATGAGAGTAGGAGCAGGGGCAAATACTTTTTCGTCCGCGCCACGCGTGCAGCAGGCAGGCCTTTCATTTTACTTCTTTCGAGCCTTTTTAAAATATTCCATGCCTTTCTGAGATGCATGCACCGCAAGGGAGCATGTGTTTTCAACGTGAAATTCCACCGTGCTCAGTCTTTCGGTGAAAATTGAATAGCCCTGCTATTCGTGCCCGAGCGAGTTCTAAATATGTTTGAAAACAAGGTTGACAATGTGCCTTTAAGCGCCTTTCACGTCCTTGCCTATGCGCTTACCGGCTATGCTATTACGTAGATAAACAGCGCAGAAAAAGAATCGGCCTTACATCATATCGTTTTGCCTGGTGTCCGCTTTGTTTAAAGACGTATGAAACTGACTGATTACGCTTGTTATACTAACCAATTACGTTTTGCTATACTGATTGCGCATCACATAATTATACGCTGAACGTAAATTGGGGACTAACAAATGCGCATCCTTTGTTACTCGCGCCAAAGAAGCTAGAACTTAGACGTGTAATAGTAATATGTCATAAATTTCTAACGGGGCCCCTAAATTGTGATAAGTGATTCGAGGCGTCATTAATCACGCTCTAAGAACCTCGCGTACATTTATTTTACAGTAATTACACTTTTGAATCTTTAACACTAGCAGCAAGAACTTTGAAAACTCTTACTGCTAGCACTCTTGGTGTAGTTCTAAGTGTGTTATAAATGATATCACTTCTTGCTCGCAGTTTTTGCGCTACGAAGCTATTACCGAAGTTCGTAATGATCCGTATCGAACATATTTCATTACAGATTCCCCCCCCCCCCTCCATTGATATGTTCATCCAATATTTATCGCCAACTCGCGAGCGCTAAGTACAGGTGTCGACCAAAAAACAATAATCGATTGTAGACAAATAATAATCCGTGCTGCCATTAATAATGCTTGACTTTATCGCGTATTTTCCGGTGCATTCTGTTCTCAACTGGAATTTATCGTTTTCCAACTAGACCGCGTAAATGAAAAGATACTCGCACCGCCGCACGACAAGCGCAATCATCGCAATGTTTTGAACGTTTATAAGATGTGTAACAACGAAATACCAGCGTGCCATTTGCACGACATCGCTCTGCCATTAAACGTAAATTTCTATTCAGGTCTCTTCGCGGTCGACCATGGGCGGTGTGCAGAGCGGGACTCATAATCTTGGCGAGGCGTTATGGGTGCAGGAGCGACAGCGGCAGAAGTGCCATCGGTGAGTAGCAGATTCTCAATAATGCACGCGGAAAGCGTTCGCTGTCGCTATATTATAACGCGAGACGTGCAAGCGATGTAGACACTCGAGGCATAAGGCCTCGGGGCAAGCTTCGGAAAAGGTCGATTTTACCCTCCGAAGTAACAAAGTTTACTAACACAGAATTTGATAAAACTTTATATTACATTATTCAATTAATTGTCCTCCGACTTTGTACCGGGTGGAGGCTGATGAAGGTGCTTTAATTTAACGACTGCGTCGTGGAATATTTCTCTATAGGTATAAACCGACGTTTGCCAATTGTGCGAGCATATCGGAAAAGTTTTAGCAATTACAAGGTGATCTTCCTCGCAAAAGTCTCATCTGCGGATTCGTTCTTATTCAACGAAATTTTGCGATAATTATGGTTGTATCTGTGTGTTGGATTTAGTATAGGTAAGCGATAAATGTGGCTTTCCTTCGGAAATTTTCTGGAATTGGATAAACCGAGATAAAATAGTTTACTGGGACAAGGTTGCCACGAATAATTTAAAAGATCACCGGGGGAATTTCGCACGTGCTGCTCCGAGCTTCTCCGCTTTGAGGCTCCGGAGTCCCGTTCGCCTCGCGGTTTCTCGAAACGATGCGTCACAATTAGTAATGGTTAATAGCTAATTACTGCCGTATTGCCACGCCGGTCAGGCAACGCTTATTAATACGGTTGTGGTCTAATTACGCGACTTCGTCTAAATGTCTGAGCGTTCATTTCTATAAAAAGAGAGAGGGGGAGAAAAACGCTAGCCGCGCGAGTTCCCGTTTTATTTTGAGAAACAAATAAAGTTTTATGCGCGCGCGCGCGCGTTAGCATCTTGCAACATTATCCAGTTACAAATAATACTTGCCAATTACGCTGCATACGCCGTTCTAATTAAATCTCGTGAAAATTAAAACAAGTGTACATAATTCAGGAAAATAGTGTGTCGTATAACCAGATATACAAGGTTAATCTTCGTCATAAAAGCTAACGCCGCAAATAACAATTTCGCAAATATGTTTCGGTAATTTGGTTAAAATGCCTCATGCAAATTTGATGAATGCGGCGCATCTTGTTGAAACAGACCTTCGGTGACAAAATCTATTTCGGAGCTAAACTCTCGCGGGATATCTCCTAGATAGATACAAACACTAGTTGTGTTCCCAGATTATCGTATTTGCCTCTCTCCGCATCAGATTTCCATTAATTAAGGGCTAGATTATAAGGTAACTGATGGAACGGGTAACGTGTACAACGCATGACTAATCATAATATTAAAGCGTTACGTTTCAGGAACATGTTTCCAGATAAATGCATATAATAATATCGATATATTATGATATTATGCGGGAGAAAGATCGGATGTGTAATAATTAATTTTGAAATAAAGCTCCTTTATACATAATATATAATAATGTTGATTTATGGACGGTATTCATCGAAGCGAATATTAGGCAACCGTTCGACGGGGATCGATTCGTGTCAAACAAACCGCGCGGTACACCGAGGTATCGCTAATTAGCGCGAGACCCGCGCCGCAGCATGCGTCGTAGCGTGATCGTAGTAGCGGAACACCGGATATCCGTCTTCACGTCCGAGTATCTCTCTCTCTCTTGGTCTCTCTATTTCCCTCCTTTTCCAACCCTTTCTCCCCGCTTCTCTCTCCCGCGGTACATACGCACACGTGCATGTCATACGACACAAAGGGCTCTGACAAGCCGCGTGTGTCTCCTGCACATCGGAAATCACTCTCGCAAACGCGGAGAGAGCCGGCGGCGCGGAGTGTCGTCAGTGCGAAGTGCCGCCATCAGCGGCTTGGACCGCGATGTACGTCGTCAAGATTGTCTACTGTCAGGTGACGATGGAGTTCGTCGACCGTGATGTCGGGACTTCGAGGTAGATCGCATTTAGATAGGGCCGATTTCACAGTCTCTGATTAACTTGATCCTCCGATTAAACTCACTCTTCGTCTCTTTCTAAGGGGGACAGTTAGAAAGAGATGTAGAGTGAGTTTAATCGGAGGATCAAGTTAATCGGAGACTGTGAAATCGGCCCATATAGAGATGTTCATTTTGAAAAGGCTGTATTAGTGGCTGCAGTTGCATATTTCGTTCATAATTTCATTAATCAGTTTTTAGGATGTTTAGATTTATTTTGTTTACTTAATCCTATCGCCTTTTGGCGTCTTTAACACTCTTTAATAACGAAAATGTCATAAAAATATAGAAATATGGGAATAAAAAATTCATAAAAATATAAAAATGTTGAAATGTTGAAATATATACGAAATATGAGAATTTTATAGAACGCGAAAGTATTTTTTATACAGCCTTTTTTCGGTGAACTTTTCGAATTTATTACGCAATATACCGTCACATTTTTATTAATAATTTATTTTATTACATTGGCGGGAAATGTTTTAAATTGAAATTTTTAAGTAACGAGTTATAGCGAAACACGCATGAAAACAGTTTCACGGTTGTGGGTATTAATAATGGCATGAAATTCCGTTCGTTATCTGCGGCTTAACTCTTCGCACTAAATAGGTCATACTACATATCAGAAATTCTCCCAAAATGAGCTTAGTTATTCAGCATAATATTTCAAAAAGTTTTGTCAAAGGACTTTGTATAAATATTTCTCTTTTAATTTGTATATAAAATTTGAATATATTTTAAAATTTAACCAATACATACACAGAGAGAAATGTTTCTTTAGATTTAATAAATTTTCTTAAATCTAAAGAAATTTATGCATTGGAATAGTCCAACCGAATCAGTGTTTAAACTACAAAATGCATTTGTTTGATTTTGCAAAGAATATATCTTTGTCTTAAGTAAAAAAATTGTTTGAAACGAAAAACATATTCTCTATTGCTTTAATAATACTATTGTTTTATTTAAATATCAATGTTTTATAAAAAATGTCTTAAACATTTATTTATTATTTATTTATTTATATATGATATATGTAGTAGTCGGTTGACTGCTACGTATATAAATAAATAAATAATAAATAATTGTCATATCTCCATCACTCAAGTGACCGGTGTGATAGATTCCAATGATGTGTACAACTGCGAGTGATAGACGCTTTTATTGTGGGGCCTTATATACGGTCTCTGGTCGAATTTGACTTACGAGTTTAGCAGCCGCCTAGCGGTGAAAACGCTAATTACATTTATTGTAACCACATAATATATTATTTGTTTGGAAGATATTACTTCAAATAATAGTGTTTTTTTCCGTTAAATAATAGTTTTCTTAAATAAAAACACAAATTTTTTCATTCAAAAAAATAATATTTCGTCTAAGCATATGTTGTTTCAATGAAAGAAATTTCAATCAAACAAATAGAATTACTAAATCCAAAGAAACCGTTCTCTCTGTGTATTTTTCACGCAACATTTAAACAATTATATCCGTATTATTAAAAGAAGCTAATATCCAAAGAACGCTAATGCTGAGTTTTTAACAATATAGTTTTTGAATTCAGAGATGCAATAAATAAATTACGTTTTCTGGTCTCTTGATTTGTTGCAAATAACAGATGCCGCGGGAAATTAAATGAAAATTTACGCTGATCCGATAAGTTTTTCATTCGGTATCGCAATGATTGATTGTAGCGCGTCATAACGCAATCAGTCTACGATATAAACTTACACAGAAAAAAAAGAAGTGTTAAATCAAGACTTATATTCTTGTATATAAGTAAGAAACTATACTCTTATAAGAATTTCAACTTTTTTTTATTAAACTATATAAATACCTTCATTCAAACAAATTTTCTTCGTTTAACGCAATTTATATCTCATTTCAAGATTATAGATTCTAGTTGCTTATACCTATATACAAGAATATAAGTCTTGATTTAACACTTCTTTTTTTTTTCTGTGTAGTTTATCAGGAAAAAATAAAGTTCGTAATGACAACTGTCGTCGTCGTCAAATATCGCTGGATTATTCTGGGCGTTGTCTCGTTTGTCTTAGTTTTTACTGCAAATCGTCCGTCGACAAATTCTGCTTGCCGAGCAGCACAGCGTCCATACGTTTAAAGCGACGTGGTCGCATTAGCGTGGCGATTTGCCAACATACGCGCAATTTCGCGTTCATCTGAGGAAAGGAACAGGCTTGTAATCCTACGTTATAACGCAGACGACGAAGGCTTGTTCCTTAAGCATACTCCGACACCTTTTGCAATGAGCTCTACTTTCGTAATTCACTGTCGAACGGAAAAATATGACTTTTACGTACATCCTGTGAAATGAGAGGAAACTCGTCGATCGGTATAATGAAAGAATCGAGTCCTCATTAAAAAAAATTATCAGCATATATATACTATATATATAGAGAATTTCCCTTGTGAGAATAGGAACGTGCTCTCTATTGTGTAACTTCCTGTCGGTTCGTGGCCTCGTTTCCTGACCTTTCTGTAGCAGCGGGAAAAATCATGCAAACCACGGAATAAATCGGCTCTACTTTTCCGTCTTATTTAACAAACGCATGACGTGTATACGATTCGTTGTCAATTCACGAAATTGAAGTACGCTTGTTAAAGTTTAGCTCCCGCGCCAAATTGTTCTAACGAGATGCTGACGCGAGCGTTCGTCAACACCGAGGCTCTGTATATGATTGATGGAGTCGCCGACTCTGTTATGCCTTCGACTTAAGATACAATTTGCGATTGGCCTCGCGGAGATTCTCTCGCTTATGTAATAATAACTTTATTACACGGGCGATGTTTTTTTTCCACGACGAGCGTAACGTTACGTAAAGGAGGCAACCATCCTTGAAGCATTAAAATCGATGGCAACATTGGGTAAGAGCAATTCTTGGATCGTTCTTGGTCCATCCAAGACCTAGTTTCGAAAACTGCTCTGCTTGCATATATAAATTACTGGATGGAAAATATGTAGACGCCAAGTATTAAGGGAGACTACAATTCTTCACTAACAATAGAAATATTTCTCTGAAGACTTATCGCGGTTT